CTCCTTGAATACTCCTTGCTATTTCACAGACAGACCAACTTCAAAAGTTTCCTTAATTGAGCACAGATGCATTTTGCTTCACAATCACCCACCCTTCCTGTAATGTTCTTTTAATTCATTTATTTACTATATTTATGGAATGCTTCTCAGACCCAAAGATTATGAGGGCATGGTATAACGGACAGTGAAAGGGTTATAGGTAACTGTTCAAACTGTCTTGCTGGGAGACTATGGACCTGAGGAAAATCCCAATGATACAAATCTTTCTGCACTGTCTTGAACAAATTGACCCTAAAAAAAATCTACAGGGTTTTTCCTGCTGGCAAGGGAAGCCACTGAATGAGGAGCACTGGAAGTAAGGGTCATGTAAACACAGAGCTCAGTGTCTCAGTTGGATCAGCAGAATTAAGCGGATGAGCTCTACCTGACTCAGTGCTAAGCTATTATCTGGGCTATCACCTGGGCTTGCAAATGATGCTTTTAGGAGATGTGTAAAAACATCCTAAGGAATTTTGACAGTGAAGGTGGAGCTTGCAGCAGGACCTTTTTGTTCGATTCTCAGAAACCCCCACGAAAGGAATCCTAGAGCAAGAAGGCTGGAGAAATCCATTAACTTGAATTGCAAATGACAACAGGCTCTAGCTAGAATGATAGTGCTTATTCATGATGAATGGTAGAATAATTATCTAAGACAAGGGTGTGATAAATATTAATAAAGCTCTAGTATGGGCCTAAACTTGATCTTTTAGGGGGCATACCAGAGCTTTCTGTGCACTTAGTAGTCCCATTTCATCCTCTGTTAATCTGAGATATGCACTGGAATTAACTCACGGAATACTGAAAAGGGGGCAGCATTGTACTGCATACCAGTTAAAACAGTAAAACTTCTGCTCCTTTGTCTCCCGCATCACATCTAAATGCTTCTGGCTTTCATTCAACTGTTGAGAACTTCATCAGCTGAAAGCACAGAGAGCCCTGGTTCACGCATAATGCTAAGTTAAACCACGGCTAAGTGGTGAACGGAAGTGTGTGCGAGTACTCAGAGGAAGAATTGAGGCCACTTTGCTCAATTCCCCAGCCCTGATGCCACCATGCTACTTGGAGCTAAGCCATGGTTTGTCTCGGTGCTTGAAATTAGCTAATTTAGATCAACTGAATTACTTCCAAAATTTTGGAATTATACCTGAAAGTAGTTCCTATAATTTCCACGTGAGATTAATGTGAATCACATTCCCTTTTGTGGTGGAAATTTCACTGTTTTCTCAAAAATTCAATTAAGCACATGAGTTTCCCCAAAGAATATTGGGAGCTGTAGTTTACCCCCGAGCTACAATTCCCAACCCCTGTAATGAATAACAGTTCCCAGGATTCACGAGGGGAGGAGTCATGTGTTTAAAATATATGGTGTCTATGTGACCTAAGCCAAACCATGGCTTAGCTCTGGGCAGAATGGCAGCCACAGGACTGTGGAGGAGCATAGTAGCCACAATATTTCCCCTTCAGTACCTGCATGCTAACTCATTCTTGCTTAGCCATGGTTTGGCTTAGCGTTACATACAAACTGGGCTACAGATTAAAAATACACCTTTAATATATTTCTGGAACAAAAGACTTGACAGTATAGCAGCCGTGTGTTATGTTTAAGGCCTAATTTCTAGCCAGCACCCCCTTTTTTGAACATGTAAGTTTTATCTTCCTATAGACATAAAAATGTAAGGATGCCGTCACGCTGCAGTTTGCAGCCATGCCAGCTTCAGCACAAGGAACAACAGTGAAATGAAATGCAGCTGCAGAGAGGTTTAACAGACCAGAGAGATGCTTCACTCAGCAGTTAAGCAAGGCAGTCTGTGAAGCATCTCTCCTCTCCATTAAAAGTGGGTTGGAATGAGGTGTGAGGGGAGGTGAATTGATCAGGTGTGTGAGAAGGACAGTTGGCAAAGGGGTGGGCAGGATTGGCAAGTGGAGAGGGCAGGGGCTAGTTTAATATATTCACTTCTGAGTGGGTAGAAAATCGGATGCAATATTTTTCAAGCGCGATCTGGAAAACTGGGTTTTGTTTTCTTACTACCATTTAGTGAAGGAAAGTTTTTTTTAAAAAAAAATAATATAATCTGTATTTCAGCTGCTCCTCGAGAACATGTTATATAAGAATGTCTATTTATACAGGAGGTAAATGAGAAAGAGCAGTGTTGCTCACCCATATGTGATTGATTTAAAACTGGCTTCCCGCTCATGCAAGCATGGAGAGAGAGAGATGAGTCAGCTAAACACACACAAACATACTGTGGTACAGGCCTTTGCCAACCTGGTGCTCTCTGGAGATTTCGGACTACAAATCCCATCAGTCCCACGGAGTTAGAATTGCTGTGCTGGCTGGGTCTGATGGGAAATGTAGTCCAAGACATCTGAGGGGGCCACCAGATTGGCAAAAACCACTGTAGTACATAGAATTATAGTAGATCCATAATATGCCCGGGGATTTAAAACTAGAATCGGAGATGGTCTGGAACATTTTGCACCTGAAGGGAAAAGTAAAAGTTAAAACTTTGTCTCTCTCATACACATGCTATGGACTGAATCTGTTTTTTTAAATGACGCACCAAGGGCATGTTTATACCATACAGTTCCACTTAAGCAGTCATGGTTTCCCTCAAGGAATTCTGGGAACTGTAGGGGTGTTGGCAGTTGTTAGGAGACTCCTATTTCCCCTACAGAGCTAAAATCCCCAGAGTTCCTTGGGAAGAGGCATTGACTGTTCAACCACTCAGGGAACTGTAGCCCTGGGAGGAGAATAGGAGCCGCCGAACAATTCTTAGCACTGTTAATGAACTACAGCTCCCAAAATTATTTGGGGGAAGCCATGGCATCGTAGTGCATTAAATGCATGGTGTGAATGTGGCCCAATATGAGAGTTTGGAAGAAGGAGCGTGACCTTTCAAGAGGGCTTGTTTTTGTTAATTTATTTGCACAGTAGTATCTTGGGCATGCCTGTTGTCTTTGTCCATGGAGTTTTCTTGGCAGGGATACTGGAGTGGCTTGCCGGTTCCTGCTCCAGGTGGATCACGTTTGGTCAAAACTCTCCACTATGACCTGTCCATTTTGGGTGCCCTGCTCGGCATAGTTAATAGTTTCTCTGAGTTATTCAAGCCCCTTCGCCACGGCAAGGCAGTGATCCATGAAGGGGTGGTTTAAGACAGCATCTTAAAAAGCAGAGACATCACCTTGCCAACAAAGGTCCGTATAGTTAAAGCTATGGTTTTCCCAGTAGTGATGTATCGAAGTGGGAGCTGGACCATAAAGAAGGCTGATCACCGAAGAATTGGTGCTTTTTAATTATGGTGCTGAAGGAGACTCTTGAGAGTCCCATGGACTGCAAGAAGGTCAAATCTCTTCATTCTTAAGGAAATCAGCCCTGAGTGATCACTGGAAGGACAGATCCTGAAGCTGAGACTCCAATACTTTGGCCACCTCATGAGAAGAGAAGACTCCCTGGAAAAGACCCGGATGTTGGGAAAGATGGAGGGCACAAGGAGAAGGGGACGACAGAGGATGAGATGGTTGGATAGTGTTCTCGAAGCTACCAGCATGAGTTTGACCAAACTGCGGGAGGCAGTCGAAGACAGAAGTGCCTGGCGTGCTCTGGTCCATGGGGTCACGAAGAGTCGGACACGATTAAAGGACAAAACAACAACAAATCTTGGCCATACAGGGAGGAAGGAATACAAGCATGGAGACCTGAAGCATAAAGCATTTCTGCCAAATGCTAAAGAGACTTCTTACATGAAGATTGGATGCCCAGTTCCCTTGCACTTGGGTTTTCCTTTCCGGTGCTAAATCCTTTATCGAGGGAACCTTTGTCCCTCTCAACATTGTTGGACTATAACTGCCACCATCCCTGACCATTGGCCGTGCGGCCTGGAGCTGCCTGGTTCCCCATCCCTGCCTTTTATCATTTCATTCAGCCATACTAACCAGTAAACTGGAGTTGTAAGCACAGCAAAACCTGCCTTCCAACCCTGTCAGCATTTCACATAACCTTGAATTCTGAACCCTGGGCATTTCTTTTTTGAACCGAGGATGTAATCTTTCATTTCTGAGTGGCTTCTAATAAAGTCCAAAGATAAACACACAAAAAAGTAGAAGCACCTCAGGGAACATTTCAAGTCCTTTTAGAATCCAATTTTGCCCTTGCATTTCCCCAAATACCACCAAGATAGGTATCAGTAAGTGATTAATGTTATTATTATTTCCTCTTATTTTTCGAGCTGCCTTTTAAATTACCAAGGTCTTCAGAGACAGTTAATGCATGCAGACACAAGGGTAGGTTGAATCATATATGATTTTCTTTGCCTCAATGTTTTGGGAATGATACCACATGTATTTATATGTAAGACCTTTGTGTTTAAAATAACCACTTTTTCCTATCTTCTGGAACTCAAAAGATTAACTTTGGCTTGGGTATTTAAACATGCTTGCGGCATTGGGAAGTGGATGCAGTTTCCAGTATTATTCATAGACCTCTCTGAGCCTTTTGTCCAATGCCATCTATTTAGCCTTAACTGAAACCAGACCCTCATATAAGCCTAAATTGTATGAGACCAAAATAAAAGGTATGGGCTGACTTGGCAGACAAAATATGAGGCAAAAAATGACTTGCATTCCAAAGTTTCGCTTGTGCCAAATGCAATAGTTTATATTTTCAAACGGGGGCTGTGATTTGGATGCCATGCTTGAGAAATAGGACATGACAGTCTTAGGAACTATGTTCTGTACCTCAGCAGATTTGGGTTTTTGAGTTTTGCAAAGTATTTTTTTTAAAAAAAAATATTTGCTTTGGAGTATTGATATCCCATCTCCTAAATCAAATTTTCTCAAGGAGGTTTATAATACATTTAACACACACTAACATAGACAATGGTACAATAGTTACTTAAGTGGGGCAAAAGTGTACATATATAAGTCCACATGTCCTCACATTCTCCCATGATCTAACAACCAGATGCTGGATAGCTCAGTCAGTAGAGCACGAGACTCTTAATTTCGTGGTTGTCGGTTTGAGCTCCAGGTTGGGTAAAAGATTCCTGCCTTGCAAGGGGTTAGACTATAGATGACCCTGGTGGTCCCTTTCTATGATACTATGACTCCTAAGTGCCACTCTGCAGCTGAATCCCCTGGTATGGAATTGGCTATCAAGGCAGTCAGCATTTAGGCTATACTAGGCTGCTGCATCTCACAGCTTCTGGTGGCCATTGCAGGAGGCAATGGGGGATCAAAGATGGTTGAAGGCACCAAAGAAACCCTGAGGCATTTGAGATCAAAGATGGTATATTTTATGGCTCTGTTCATTGGTTGCTGCAGCATAACACATTTCCAGAGTAGAAAAATGAAATGAATTATAATTCAGCCTCACATATTTCTTGGGGATAAACAGAAGCACAGGTCATAGGCATATTTCTTTTCACTTAATTCTAAACAGATTTATTTGGAACTAAACCCAGCCAAGCTCAAATGGCTCTTAGCTTAAAGCAAGACTGCGGAATTGGGCAAAGGACCACCTGCTAATTGTGCTGTTTTGAAACACAGCAGAAAATCTCCTTTCCACTTTGGAAGATTCACATTGTGTTCTCCATTAGTGTTTTAAAGCTAAGAAGGTTTTGTATGTCAGGGGTGGTAAACTTGTGGTCCCAAAGATGCTTCTGGATGCTCTACATTCCAGGCCTTTGGCCATGCTGACTGGGGCTGATAGAGCCTAACAACATCAGGAGGGTTATAAGTCCACCCATCTAACCTGCTAAGCCTGTTGTCTTCTCAGAGTGGCAGTGGTTTTCCAAGGTGATGGTCTTTCTTCTTGAGATCCTTGTACCTGGAGATACCAGGGATTGGACCCCGGAGTTTGTGAGCATGGAAAGCATGATTGTCTTATCACAGAGGTAAGATGAGTCCTTCCTACAGTGTGTTTCAGGGACCACAAGTGAAAAACAGCTGAGGCAGTGGCGATAAATACTCAGACTGACCCAGGGCAAAGAAAGAGAATATAGGAAATAATTACTGCAGCCTTTCTGAGTTGTGTCAGTCTGCAAACACACAGCTCTGTTGGAAAGTTGGCTGGAGGGATTAACTTGTGCGCAGGCCTGCTTTCGCAGCAAGCCCTTGCATAGTTGGAAACATGAGACTAGACCAATACTGGTAGCATTGCAAGGACAATATTTATGTAAGACTGTGTGATTCATGGGCTGTTTCTCCAGGCGAACATGCACACATGATGCTCTCCAAATTGTACCTGGTTCCAGTTATGTCTAAAAATGCACATATTTGTTGGATAAGTGCAAGGAAGTTTCCACTCCTTTCCTGTAGTTACAAAAGTACGCTTTTGTAAGCCTCGGAATGGTTTGTGCTGTAGCAACTTTTTATATAACTCATCAACAATGTACCTATCACATTTAATGTAGGGCTTGGATCCCTCACTCTCTCCCTCTTGTAAATACAAGAGGTGGCCCTGGTCTCTTGCTGTCTTTTGTATGTTGGTAACTAAAGCTTAAGTTGCAAGATACTGGGTGGCTAGAATAACAGAATTGTAGAACTGCAGAGTTGGAAGGGACCCCAAGGGTCAACTACAACACCCATCAAGCCCAGTCAGCAAGGCCAGCGGTCATGGATGAAGGGAGTTGCTGTCCCACAACATCTGGAGGGCCACAGGTTCCCCATCCTATCCTACTGTACAGCTAGAGTGCTGCTGGAAAATTTTGGATCACAATCATTGGAGAAACACCCCCCCGTGTTCTTCTACATTCTGTAGATTTCTCTTTCCTTTATTTGCCTGTGGAATTTGGGTCTATCACAAAACAGGGAGGGGCTGCAGAGGGAGCATAAGCTGCCTTTGGGTAGAAGAAGAAGAAGAGTTTGGATGTGATATCCCGCCTTTCACTCCCTTTAAGGAGTCTCAAAGCGGCTAACAATCTCCTTTTCCTTTCCTCCCCCACAACAAACACTCTGTGAGGTGACTGGGGATGAGAGACTTCAGAGAAGTGGGACTAGCTCAAGGTCACCCAGCAGCGGCATGTGGAGGAGCAGAGACGCGAACCCGATCCCCCAGAATACGAGTCTACTGCTCTTAACCACTACACCACACTGGGTAGCTGGTCATATTGCAGATTCAGTACACAGTAGAGAAATCCAGCTTTAAATTGGTGAGTGGAGGGGAAAAGTCTCTTTACTTTTTCCCGTTGAATGAATGTTGTCTGTTTATAAAACGTAGCAAAAGAGTTCTGGTCCACTGAATATTAGTGATGACTGAGCTCTCTCGGTTTGATTTGGAATTGTTATTTATGGTGAACTTTATTTGACAAGCTTTTTCTGAGAGTTCTCTCCTGATTGGCAATGTTGGCACAGACCTTTAAGTTTTATGCTCACGTGTTTGTGCATGTGTGCGTGTTTATATAAAACAAGGCCAGTTTTTCACTAAGTTTTTAACTTCCCCTCAAAAAGTTCATCTATTTTTCATCTAAGTCCTGGACACTTAGCTCAAAGTTGGGGGCGGGATTTAGTGAACCTCTTAGTCCACTGGCCTGGTCCTCTTGTTTTTAATGGCTCTCCATCTGGACAGTCTTTGCTCAGCTCGGTCCACTTCTACCACCTTCTCTCTCTCTCTCTCTCTCTCTCTCTCTCTCCCTCTCCCTCTCCCTCTCCCTCTCCCTCATTTCTAAGTAGCAGCCTGAGCAGCTTCCATTGATGATGAATAAATCTCTTTTCACTTCTCATTTGTCATGGAAGCAAAAGACTTAGAGGAAGCAATGCACCTCAGGAAACTTTCCGCTTCTTGCCACACATGAAAAAAATGTGCTGGCATAGTTACTGCACAGCAGAGGATGTGGGAAAAGCAGTTCGATATAAAGAAACCCACAAAAATAAGTAGTTCCTCTTCTTCCACTTCTGTAATTATAGTCCACGGTGCACATACTTCCTACATTTTACGAAAAAGATATAGCTCCATCTAAATCCACTTCTCAAGTTAGAAATGGGAAGCCAAGGCAAGAGGTGGAAGCAATGGTGCAGGCTCGTATTTGCGGCTACTGGTTTTGGTGGTTTGCATTTGGAAATGGAAATTCTGCCTTTGAAACGGTGCAGATAAAAGATTTTGAGGAGCAGGCATCTTTTTCTGCAGTGTTCTCAGCATCATCAAATACACTTCAAAACTGCAGGCTTTCTTCTCTTGGCTGAGGCACAACTAGGAAGAAGACAGGGAGAAAGTCTCTCTGCCATTTGTCCTCCCACCCATGGTTAGGTCTTCTTTGCCGCATTCTCCTGCAGATAAGGAGAATTAATGAATGGGATAATTCCGTGTTGGTTTTGTGCTCTGTTATATTAGAGCCTGCTGCATTGATGCTTCTGAAACCATTCCTCCTCCTCTTCTTCTTCTTCTTCTTCTTCTTCTTCTTCTTCTTCTTCTTCTCCTTCTCCTCCTCCTTCTCCTCCTCCTCCTCCTTCCCTCCTCCTCCTCTTAATGCTTTATTAAATTCACAAAGAAAGTGTACATTCAGAACAAGAAAAATACATATTCCCATATTCTTAGTTTTTTCCTTATACACAATTTCTATAACGACTTCCCATCACCCCATGGTGGATCCTAAATGCTTTAACATATCACATTTTTCTTTATCAGTCCAACTCAATCTCCATTATTTTACTTTCCTATAGTTTTCTGTATTTCTGCAGCTTCTGAAACCGTTCATTGGCGAGCAAAATTCCTTCTTCTCTTAGGATTCTTACATTCTTGGATTGGCACGACCTCATTTAGCCTATCAGATGTAAAGTGGGACTGGTAAGGATGATATTGGTCATTGCCCTCACTCTTAGCTAAGAGGGCTTGGAGAATAGGAAAAGAGGCATTTGGAACTAACAGTTCCCAGCAGAGAACTTATGGCACCTTTCCCTCGGCTGTAGATGCAAGTGGCATGGTACTCTCCTGCAGAAATGGGATGGCAGCAGCAGGAAAGATGCAGGCGTATGCTAGATGAGATGCGACACTTGGCAGGCCTACAGTTTCTGGAAGAGAGCAGTCTCATGCTGGCCATGCTCAGGTGAATTGAAGATGAGCAAAAGTAGCATCTTCAAGCTTTTCCATATCAGCTGCTGCTAGGGCCCATGAACCAAGAGACAAAGACAGCATTCAGACAACACTCTGTCCTGTCTTCCTAATGTTTCCATATCTGTTGCTTTTCATGTTTTGTGCGATCTTTCACACAATGCAAAAGCCACTTCTGGAAACCTAGCAGAAGTTTAGCACTCGTTTCTAGCACTGGACAAAATCCATTTGCAACCCTGGAGACCTGGAATAACACGGGAGTTTTGCGTTTCAAGTTCCCCATGTGTTTTCATGGGTCACCCACCTACTGCTTGTGTAAATAAGTTTCAGACAGTAGTTAGGCATACTACATGGTGGAACAGAAACGCACATGAGTGACAACATGCCAAATGATGTTCATTGTTGTGTTACACCTGTCGCGCTGGGGAAGGGAAAACTTAAACACAATGCAGAGTTCCGAAAAAATAGACCAGAGGCAATTGTACTTCATTCAGCAGAGATTTACTGCTACTGAAGGCAAATGAGCATAATGGTCACAAATCCAATACATTCAGGATTGGCACTGTCCATAAGAAATCCAGTTGCAGCACTTACAATAAAACTTACAATAAGACTAAACCTTATCACTATAGCATACAGAACACCACACTAGAAAAAAGAGTCAGAAAGAGAAAGCAAATGAGACCCAGGCTCCTTCTGGCTTTACTATTATAGTCAGCATGACCTTGGCAGAAAGATAACAGAACCATTTTAAGCCAGATGTACATAGCTTCTCAGAAGGAATAACCCAAACAAGAACCTTCTGCCTGTTTCTTTCATATGGAAAGAAACCTTCCAGAACACTCTTGAATTAATCAGAATCTCTACACATCAGATCAATATTTTCTGTACTAAGAAATGCAAACTGACAACACCATGGCCACTGGTAGGAATGAAATTTAGCATGACATGGTGGTATATCGATGGAGAAGCCGCCCCTCCATAAAGCAACA